AGGGTCCCCATTTTTAGGTATTATATTTGGTTGCATTTAGCAGGGTTCCCGTTTTCAGGTGTTATATTTTGTTGCATAAATCAGGGTTTCTGTTTTCAGATGTGTTGCATTCTGTTGCATTCAGCAGGGTTCCCATTTTCAGGTGTGTGGTATTTTGTTGCATTTAACAGGGTTCCCATTTCAGCTATGTAGCATTTGTTCACCTGGGTTCTAATTTTAGCTTCATTGCACTCAGTTGCATTCAGCAGGGAGCCCAGTGAGAACCCACTGAGGCTCATGGCAAATGTCATTGTTGTGTGAATGAATACAGCACATTACCGGTGCTTCGCCAAACAGATCTCCAGATGGTTCAGTCGCTGCTGGTGCGGCTACAGGAGCTGGGGCTGCGGCAGGTGTTTCCACTACAGCTGCAACAGGTGGTGCCAGTCTCGGGGCCGCCCGTGGGGCTGCCTGCGGGGGACGAAGTGGGGGTGGAGGCTGCTGGGGAGGGCCTGACGGCGCAGGTGCAAAAGGGTCATTCGTGGGAGTGACCGGCGTTGCTGCATTAGGGCTGAAGGGGTCTGGTTCGGCAGCATTGAGGTCTAGCTGCTCCATTGCCGTGATACCCTGGACAAGAAAATAAGAACAGAAATAAGCAGTTGTAATCCACTGGAAAAAAACCCAGCAATTTGCTGCAACTTAACTGGGAGAAGGTAACTGTAAAAATCTCCTCTGAGTTGTGTCTGAACTGAAACAAAATAAACTCTGACCACAATGTACGGATTTCCAGAGAGTGACTACAACTTAACATTATCCCCTGGCCACAGAGCCTCTTACCAGGCTACTGTGGTCACACCAATTTGACATTACGAGCATTTGCTGCCAACACTAATTCAGAACTGTGGCTCACAATGAGGCCGTCTCATGGCCAATCAACTTTAGATAAACAGCATACACCACCAGCACTTGGCAGATTTCTATTACATTCCCACATACATGTAGGCTTCCTACATGTAACGAGCTACGTTCTGGTCACTTAATTGATTTAATAAGTGTACCTGTATGTAGAGTTGAAAGATGCATACATGTACATGCATGCCTCGTATCACATGTACCTACACACATGAACAACATGTTCCTGTGAAAAGGCAAAACATGTCAAGTTAAACCCACATTACACTAAATCAGTGCACTTTGCTGATCATACACTACTAACAAACCATTCAGCATTCCCGAGATTAAGAAATTATAAACACCAATCAGATTTGATCATAGTGGCACCTGTCACTGCTACATTATGATCTCAAAAGTGCTTTACACAAGCCACATAAGTTTCCAGGTCTGCATCAGGAGCACCAACCGTGGCCCTGCCTTCACTCACACACGCCACCTGAGCACAAAACTTCTCGTGAGTTTCCAAGAGATGACGAATCCAGGCCAGGTTGTCCTCGAATCCCTCCTCTCGCATCTGGCGCTCCCAATCCCCCTGGAGATCGTCGGCTGTGGCATCCTCCCCCCTCTCGCCGCTGTAGGGGGGGAAGTACTCAATTTCTTGGGAGAAGCGGACCCCCTTTGGCCGCGCAATGGCGGAATCCAACCGCTTCCGACGCAGCACTGTCGACATGTTGGATTTGATCTGATTCACTAGTGCAACCGGGTTCACAGGACTAAGGGGAGTTGTGTTTCAAGCAAATTACATCAGAATTATGGAACTGTGTGAACTTTGTGTTTCTGTGTCAAAAATCAAGGCAACACTTTATCCGTTATCCTTGCAAATGTGTTTTAAGATATACTGCTTCAGTGATGGCCAAACTAATGCCTCGCTGGACGACACAGTCTAAAGAGCCAAAGCCAACACCAGGTGATTCAGGACTTTAAATGCAGCAAATATAGAACTTTTTATCAGGCAGTTTTGGTTGAAAATTTTGAATATTGAGCAGACAGTGCTGACTGCAGCCAGTATGAACAGGAACCACTTAATATCCTGGCCGATTAGTCACTCGTTGTTGGGGAGCTTTCCTCAAGCTAAGACATCATGCCTGTCTAACAAGGCAAAGCCCACTGGGCCCAAAGCCATTACCAGCTGGACATGACGGGATCAGTGATAAGGACTGGTTCGGTTACCAGACAAATTACAGGGCAATCAGAGGTTTCACCCTGTCTGATCCACCTGTTTCGTAGTGTTCTGAAGATGTAATTACTATGTTTTATCAAACAGACCTGTTTTGTAGTGTTCTGAAGATGTAATTACTATGTTTTATCAAACAGACAGCTTCACTGGAATAAATGCAGTCTGTAGGGATACACTCTTTCAGAGTAAACACACAGTTTGTAATACTCCTAAGCCCATCTTTTTTTTTAATATCAAGATTGATACCATAAACCTGCTGCGGTTTGGGGGGGAGGCAAATATCAGTCTTCCTGTAAGAAGATATACAAGATTTCCTCTACAATTGACCGTATTTGCGCCGTCCTCAATTTCAGTCGTATTCCCCAACGTAGTGTATTTATTTGAAAACGTTAAATTCAAAGAACCCAACTATATTCTACGATTTCATTCCGACCCCCAAAATCACTTGGTACCATTCCATCAAGGGTTTCAGATTTATACTGTACGTTCAGGAATACGACCGAAATTGGGGATGCCACGAATACAGTCTACAGTGTGACAAAATAGACTGAAAATTAGCAAGAGCCAGATTTCAATGTAATGAGAGGAATCGTTTGAACAGAAAACAAAAGTCAAGGGTTTCCAAATGCCAACTTGTCCACTGTACATATTCATATGTACATGAACATGTACATATGAACATGCTTTTACCTATTTCATCAGGACCAGCTGTTCCTCAACCATTCACCTTCAGAACCGGTTTCTTTCAAGAATAACAAATGTAGAGCTAAGTATTTGTCTCACAATTTTCTGCACTCTGCTATGTTTCTGTACTACTTCTCTACTCCCTCACAGCAACACGGCATCTTATTATTGAGGACATTGGTAGTAACATTGGAACATTAAAGTTAGATCCCTGGAATGAGGGCTCATACAGTCCTCGAAAGTCATCATAAGCCCTTGAAAGTCCTTGAAAATGATATTGTATGATAAAGGTATCATTCACGCCAAGCAATGTGATGACGGGGTTTTCAGAATGTTGCTACATGTACATTTGCTGGTTACTTGGGTAGGGGAAAAATTCGCCACCAGTAGCAATCTGTGTCCCATAATGAGCCAACCTCCTTTACAGTGTACTTACTTTGAACTGGTACAGATCAAATGATGTAATACCAATTGATACATGTATGTAGTGAGTATTCTCTGATGAACCATTCATGTTTGCTGGATTTTGGTCCAGAAAAATTGGATTTCTGGACCTTATAAGTCCTTGAAAAGACCTTGAGTGTAACTTGAAACCACCCCTGTATCTAAAACAAACTCACTAGATAACCACCATTTTGGTTGAGTATCAAGTATCGGAGTTCTGGGGAGGGGGATGCATGTACCTGTTACAAACCAGTGGGGTACACACTCAAAGTTCCCCCGACCTGCTTTCACATTCTGAGTCATACACAACATGCATGTTAACTGTCTGGACAATCTGTACATGTGTCATCACTACCATGGTGTAACTGTTACATTACCGCCAGATGAGATGTTAGGGACGGAGTCAGGTCTCCTGGGTACTGATTCCTGCCAAGTGAATACCGGTAGACTGGGTCCAATATCAACCCCCCCCTTCAATTCTAACAATCCAGTTAATGTTCTCAGCCAAGTGCTACAGTGCTTGAGATGGTACAGTACATGTACATTAAGACATTTTCCTGCAAAAGCCTTTTTTTACAAATTTTACACCAGAGGAATTTCTCAGTCCTCTCTTTTACAGAGAGGACTTTCCGCGGAGATTAGATCAGCCTCCTCCAATGGTCTCTGTGGAGACTGGTAGACACTAAAATGCTGAGTGAGGTCATCAGGGTCTCACGAACAAGCCGACTTTCAGCGTCTTCTACAGTCCTTGTTAGAGGACTGCCATGTTCATTACAGTTGATTGTCTAGTTCCGCAATATAGCCAGTTACGCAACTCAGAAAAAACGGGCTTCATTTTCAAAAAGACAAAATTGCCGGGAACTTGATTCATACTTCTTTGAAATAGTTTACTTGTGAAGATCTTGCAGAGAAACAATTTTGCTTACAGAACTGCCGCTGTTATTTAAGAAGATCGGTGACGATCCTTTTTCGCTGATCGCAGCTCACAACAGAAGGGCGTGTGCATTCTATGTGATATCGTGTTTGTCGCTCTTTTAAACGATCATCGTGGTGATTTTTTCAAAACAAAAGTGCCTGCAAGATTTTACCAGTTCTGCAAACAGGTTTTAAATTACGTTACAATGCACGCTTTCAGTGTGCGTGTGGCGTACGTCCTGCATCAGAAAACAACACCTACCGATTGCGCAGTTTGTGGAACCGGCAAATGTTTGCGGAACCGGGCAAATTACCGACCACCACAAAAAGCACACTAGCATTCGTCTTTTAATGACTGCCCCAAATTGTTAAGTATCATATGTAGCTGGATAATTTCCAGATATTTCTGGACGAAAACCTTTCCATGAAAGTAAGTTTTTGAGGCATGAGGGACCCTGGACTGTTTCTGTTTGAAGAACCAGTCCATCACCTGTACTCCGAAATGTGCACACTGAGTTGCATACATACCATTTGAAGGTTGCTGACTTGGCTCTCCAGGCTGACTAGGTTGTCCTGGGCTGGCTCAGCGGGTTTTGCGACCGGGGACTCCTACAAAAGTCATCAAAACAACAAGCATGGGGTACATGTATGTGACCAGTAATTAGTGTTTAGCTGGAGGAGAATTATGCTGTGAGTTGCAATGTATATTAGCTTGTCCTAGAGTTAAGTGAAAATCCGTTAATGATTGTAAAGCTCTACATTACAGATGCCAGTCCATCAGAAGAAGTCTTTACAGGAATAATGACTTTCAGCGCACAGCGACTTTATTGTATTATGCACTTCACAAGAACTGTTCCATTATTATTTTTATTACAAATGACAAATAGCCTCAAATTTGTACCGAATTCTGGGTAAGAACTTGTTTCCTGCCAATTCTTGGCAACACCACAGTTGGAGGATACAACAACCCAGCCATCACATCACCGGGCAAATACGCCTCTTTTGCCTTTGTCTCTCGGTTAAGATATTGGACGTTAACGGCACGCAGAACTTACAGAGTAGACATTCTCAGCAGGTGCCTTGGAGGTCGGGGACCCCAAGGGGTTGTCGTAGCTGGGTTGCAGGTACACCGTGGTCTCCTCCATCCGTTTCTTCTGCTCAGCCACTTCCTTCTGTTTATTGGCCAGCACAATCTCAAACAAGTCCTTCAGAGCCAACACCAGCTCGTCAGCCTGCAACACAGTGAATGTTTCACGGATGTTAAATATCACATGGAGCCCATGAGTCACGATCGCTTACATTTCAGAGTCGGGTCGATGAAGGAGTGCTTATTTCTACAATCTTAAAATCGTTATTGTCCACATACAAATCTTATGGGCCGGGACATGGAACAAGACTTCAGGCCCAGCGCATTCTGCAGTTCCATGGTTTCTGTCCCACAACTAAAACTGAAATATTTTGCACTGGTTTTCTGGGTTTCTAAAGGGAATTATGTACACTTTTTAAAAACCCTTTGTTTTATTACAAAATTAAAACACCAATCACTCCGTATGTGCATCTCATTTTTAAAATGCAGACTCAACAGCACTGTTCTGGATTTTTGGGAGTTCCGGGTCATCACTGGCAGAGCTAAGTTATTAAAGTATTGTAACTCCATTGATATTGGCTGCTTTTAACTGACCTAGCACGGAGGGGTAGTCCATTTTTCAGAGGCCACACCCCCACTGAGGTAAGGCTCAACAGACCAAGTTAACAGGTACAGTACTTTCCAAACAGCATTCAATTCAAGTATTTAAGAATATTATTTTATCAAATGGATCATACATAGTCAATAAATTTGGTTTTTGCTGCATGTGGAATTCACTCACTTTTGATTCTGTGCAGTTCACCTCAAAGCCAAAATACCCCAACATTGTTGATTCATCGGAACTGATATCGAGCCCATTAACAGTCAAGCATTTACGAGTAAGAGCGATTTAAAAAAAAAAGTCAGAACGATTTCATCTCAGGAATGCTGCTATGCAGGGGTGACATGCTTAAATAGTTACCTGATTCTGTGTTTTGATTGCAAAGAATTTGTGGTTTCCAGCTTCGCCGTAGACGTAACCGAATGCCCGTTTGTCGCTGGGATCTCTGGAGATGAAGGAGATCTTGATGACCTCGTGCGTGTGGAGGTTGGTCTGTCCAAGAAATATTTACCAAATTTGCAATGAGCAAGCACCTACACACTGTAATCAAGAGGAGACTGTGTAAACTGGATGTTGATAAATGGTCGGTGTGGGAGACAGATTTAAAGGATGGTGCACCTGCATGTCATAAACCGAGCTGGTACATATCTGGGATAAAAACAAGGGTGGTGACAATGATTCTGAAGAAAAGGTGCCGACAAAAACGATGACAAGGCTAATTTGATGATATCAATGGTAACTCTCAACAGTTAAAACAGATCACGACGTGGACAAATGTGATCATGAGAATGATTTCCCAAATACAGACAATATTTTGGTTTAGCCGAATACAACTCAGCTTAGCAGCTGGGAGTTACAGCAATGCTTAAGTTAATCGTAACTGCCCAGTGTCCATCAAACTCCTACTGCAGAATTTGCTAGGTTTTAGCAGGTTTGGTATCGTACCCGATTAACTTCTTGTTGAATTCTGTTGGACTTGGTATCTAAGGTCCAGGTTGATGGTGTTGGACTTTGTGCGAGTCAAA